CTGCTCTGTCGTGTGGGAAGAAAAGTTGTAGCCATTGTTACACAAAGTCGTTACTTTAGGAGTCACCTATGCACGAGAAGGAACTGAAGTTGCTGCTGTGAGACTAACCTTTAATCACATACACTTAACAATGACAGCGGCACATTTACCAAAGACAGTTCCTGGTCCAGGAAAATGATTCACGGTGATGGAAACATCAGTCATTTTCCTTTTGTGATATCAGGGTCAAAGGAATAATGAAAACTGTTTTGTGATTTTTTTTTTTCACATTTCACAAACAAAGGAAGTGCACAGACTGTCCTTTCAGGTGCAGAAATGTGCTGGTTAATTTAATGACTGTTGGGAAAAAAAATAACAGCACACGTCTAAAGAGTCCTTATGCACTACTGCACTGAGCAAGAACTCCACACGAGGTGTGTCTGCAGAGGCTGTTCAGTGACTGTTCTCTTTGCAGACACTGAAAGGCACCTGTCTCTTTATCCTTCAGCCTGTTTTCATAACCAGCTGCAGTCACCTGTCTGACTTTACAGCAGCGAGTTAGCTGTAAGAGCCCTGGTTTTAAATGAGCAAGGCCACTAGAGTCACATTTTCAAATGGTGCATTTTTATGCTTGTGATTGTTATTACTCCTTATTACGATGTGAAATGAAGAGAGTCAGAAGAAATACAAACAATAGATTAAAAACAGATATAGAGCTGGACTAAAGCAGTGAAGTAGGAAAGAAAGAAGAACAGAAGGCAAAGTGTAACAAATGAAGAGCGAAGTGGCGAATATGACGAAGCAGGAGAAAGCAGCAGGGTCAGAATGAGGAGTGAAAGAGATTTGTGCAATAACACATCAGGTAAAGTAGCATCTGCAATGTTTTCTCTTACAGACCATGATAATTGTAACTTGGTACTTGTACTATATGGTGGTGGCAGGTCAATAGTACAAGTAAGGTTCATATGGGCAATAAATTACACATATGGTAGCAGGTTATAATAACAGTTAACTATAAGATTTAGGGGGGCTTGTCTTCCTCCCCATGCACATTCATAATTATTTGCTAATAATTCAGAGTTAAAGTGCATATTTTGATAAATAGGTTTGATAATTGACAGTGTTTACAGTTGAGATGCAGTGACTAGGGGTCAGTTAATTCTATCTAATTATAACTAACTATCAGTTCTAGTGGTTAGTCGAGAAAAAGGAATGAAAACTGTTAGAGGTGAAGCACAGAACTTTTCCTGCATGATTTAAACCCTGTCAGAAACATCAGTGTCTTACGCTCCTCTCTTTTTGGCTCTAGTGGTTCTGCAGGCCTGCGCTCTGGTCCTCTACCCGATCAAGTTCATTGACGGAACAGTTCTTCAGACCTATCATGAATTTAACTGGGGCTATGGGCTTGGCTGGGGAGCAACCATCTTCATGTTGGGCGGTGGAATCCTCTTCTGCCTGCGGACGGACATATACGAGGATGCAATGTACTGAGTGCTTGTGCGCCCCACTGCTGGAAATACAACCATAAACATACACACTAATGTCCCTGCAGGAGGTGTGCTGCTCTTCATCACTGTCCACATGCCAGTGTGAGCACAGA